AAGTAACAGCTGTTCTTGCGTCCAGTTTGGTTTTCTTTTACATTTACATGCCTTACTATCAGCCATAATTATTCTACTCTGTTAATTAAAAGGCTGTTTATATGCATATCCGCTAATTGTTTATGAGGAGCACACATGTAAGAGGCTGACAATTAACTGAACATATACTTGTTTAATTAGTGACACTTATGCCATGCATCAGAAAGACTAATGCCCGGTTCAGACTACACGATTTTGTCCGATTTTGCCACAATTTGCTTGACGTAGGGTGTCGTGGGGATTCGTAAACGATAATGGGCGTCGGGACGCAAGATTCCATCGTTTCAGCAAGTGTAGTGTGTCATAGTGGACGACAACAGATTCCACATCTGCAATGCTTCACGACATCTCGACAGAAAGACTAGCATGTTTACTTTTTTTTCCGTCATCCACGACGAGTTCTGTCACATTGGTGATGTTGACCAATAGCAGCACAGAAGCTCTTTCAGACACCGGTTTCAAACATGGCAAAATGAAAGCGAGATGATGGTGCTGCTAGGTGGAATTATGAGATGGAGGAAAGATTCGTGGAGCTGTGGCAACAGTACTCCTGCCTGTATGTTGTGTCATCGAGGGACTACCACGACAGAACAAAGAAAGAAAAATGCTGGCGAAATATAGCAGAAGCGCTTCAGCAATGTTTACAATCTTGTTTTCGGAAGTCAGTCGCTAGTTCCACCTTCTCGATGACATCACGCGCGTCGTTAAAGACGGCACGCGATGAATGGTTATGGAAGGCGGATGTATGGGGTGTACTATATGCACTTTTTGCTGATTGCTAAGCAAACTGAGAGGAGAACTAACGTGTATACGCTCGCCAGCCGTCTGGCCAAAATCCCATAGTATTCAGGCGTCAGACGTCACGGTCACGTGTCGGAGCTGCGCTCAAACTGCACGGAGGCGTGGCGGCAACGTAGCAAAGAAAGGATTTTTTTAACTTTGCGTCTGGATAAGGTATGTGTGGATAAGCGTCTGGATAACTTACATGTGGATAACACAAGATTTTAGGAGTCAAAATCGTGTAATCTGACACAGTGACGATAGTGACCGACAAAAATATTGTGTAGTCTGAACCCGGCATAAGAGGGAAATATAGCTACTGAGATTTGGTCTTAGTGTATCACAGGGGAAGTTGTGGCCTAATGATTAGAGAGTCAGACTCGTAACCCAAAGGTTGCGGGTTCGAGTCTCGTACCGGCAGGGATTGTAGGTGGGGGGAGTGAATGTACAGCGCTCTCTCTCACCTTCAATACCACGACTGAGGTGCCCTTGAGCAAGGCACCAAACCCCCAACTGCTCCCCGGGCGCCGCAGCAAAAAATGGCTGCCCACTGCTCCGGGTGTGTGTTCACTGCTGTGTGTGTGCACTTTGGATGGGTTAAATGCAGAGCACTAATTCCTAGTATGGGTCACCATACTTGGCCACATGTCACGTCATTCACTTTTTTCACGTCACATTTTAGACCTCCACTATATCTCTTGCACTATATTTGAACTGATGTCTAGCTGTGTTGAGTAAAATCTATTTTTCTCTGTTTTTGTACGATGATGGGATTATCTGAATTGTAACGAGAGATTAACTCAAAAACAAGAAAGCATCTACATGAGCACATTTACTGCTCTCATAGTGGTGAATCAGCAGAACAAGTGATCTTGAGAGATTCAGACTGCCCTCTGATGTTTAATTCATCTAAACGAGACAGTTAATCTGTCAAGCATGTCTGGGGCAAGATATAATCTCTAGCCCTGAACATGACACAAAAGAAAATAATCCAATCAGTTGTTAATTTTTGTCATATCTTTAAGAAACTGTGTCTGGTGCTTTCTATGAAAGGGACACAAAATAATGCTTTGAAAGTTTTTTAAATGTTTTAATTAATTAATTTTGAGTAGCTCAAACTTAACATTACCAATATTCTGCAATGATCCACTGAAGGCAAGTTGTAGTAGAACCCATGTGCAGTTTTATTAAACAGAAGATAACTCAAAAACAGAATGACTTGACTTGACTTGACCCTACGACACATGAACAAGGACTTACCAACAGTGGTTACACAGACAAAGGACGATGGTAACATGAGGGCTATATATACAGAGACTAATGGGCAAACAAGACACACCTGAAACAATCAAAACAATAAACCAATGAGAAAACAGAACTTAGAAACACATGACTAAAACAACCAATGACAACATGACACATTCACAAGGGGAGCACATGGCAAGATCACAGGAAACATGAGAGCATGAACCACAAAAGAAAAGACATGAAAACATGAACATAAAACCCCCAAAACCAACCGTCACGTATATGAGCACTATAAATTAGCATATTTTATTTCCAGAAAATAAATTCAATAATCATACAAAATTTCAATTAAAAATTAAAGAAATGTAAAATTAATAATATTTCAATATAATATTTCAATATTATTATTGTATTATTTCAATTTCAAAATATTTATTGAGCATCTTAATGTTAAGGTAAAACTTACTTTTCTTTGTAACAGGGTGCATGGAAACTGTTGGACACTGCTATTATTATTATTAGCAATTAAAATTCAATATTAAAAATATTTTTGAATGATACAATATCAGTGCATCAGATTATTTTTAAATGATAATTTAATTTCAGCTTTGAGCTTTGCAGTTGCACACACCAAAATCTTGTTTTTTGGGGCGGATACAGACTTGATGTCTTTGTACACTATTTGTGAAATGTGCATGGTTGTTTTCAATAAGAGAAATGGATAAAAATTAATTATATGAAATAGCAGGCTTCAACAGTATTTGTGGTAAAAACTTTATCTAACAGATTATTATAGCAGGGTCCTATAACAGAAAACATACCATGGTTAGCAGCTGCACAAAATATGTGCACATATGGCATTGAATATATATGACTGATCATCAATAACGAATAGACCCTGTCTACTTTACAAGATCTAATTTCTCCTATTTGTTATTTATACCCACTTACCCCTTTCCTTAACCTTTTCAGTCTCTCTTTCTCCCTTTATATCCCTCTCTCCTCCTATGTTTTCCCTAACATTTGATAGATCGCAATTAGATATCTTTGTAAAATCCAGAAAGCGTTGTTACTCAATCCTGCAGTTTTACATTTCAGTTTTGTCGTCAGTAAATTGCATCCCCTCTTCTCCCTGAGTTCACTGTGTCTGACTTACAAATACTCCCGTTTTTTTCTCCTCTTTCATTTTCCGTTACTGAGCTTTCTCTTCCTCCCTGACTGAGTGTAGCTCTTTATCCATAAATTATACATCAGGTGAAGGTGACAGACAGAGAGAAGATTGCATGCTATAATCATTGAATCTGCTTAAATATGAAGGTTAGGATAAACTGAGCAGAGTAGATATGTTGGGAAATACATTTCAACGTACTGATCAGATCTAAAAAGATTAATTTCGAAATAAGGCAGGGACCACAAATGTTGGCATAAGCTGTTTGCAATGAGGTCACCATGGTTTATGTCCCATACAAATCTGCAGTGAGATAGCATCTGAAGTTATTGAACTTTTTTTTAAATAAATGCTATTACTGCCACAGCACATAACTTGGCATAATCCCAAATTAAATGCATTTTAGGAATTTTAAGTAAAATGTATTTAAAGGTTCTAGTGTTAATTAATATATTTTACATTTCAGTTACACATATGTAACTTTAATGTAATTTTCACTTATGAAACTTTTCTGCTTAGACATGTTGAAAGCTTGTTTAAAAGTAAGCTTCCACATCACTTCAATAACAGAATCATAAGAAATAGAGGTTGATTGTTGTGGCATCAGATAAGAACAGATCCACGTTTAGATTACAGGATGACTGTAACAGAGATCGTTGCACAAACACCCATGGATTATTGTTGATGTTTGTTCTACAATAATAATATTCAAATGTAAAATAAATTAAATTGATTTAGTCAAGTCAATTCACCTCTATTTCTATACCGCTTTATACAATACAGATTGTGTCAAAGCAGCTTCACAGAGATAAACAGTTCTTCAGAGCACCTATTTGCCAATTTCAGTTTAAATTCTGCACTTTATTTTAAAATAATTAATTTACAGATTCCAAATCAGTTAAAGCCTTAATTTTCTGGTAATCTTCATCATCATTTTGGTAATGTGACAGATAAATAATAATCGATAATTTCTTGATATAAAAAAGCTGATACTCCATTATGCACAGCAGAAACACTGTATAGTTTGTGTGTGTGTGTGCTTGAATACATGGTTTATGAGGACACTTCCTGTGTCCTCATAAACTAAATGGCTTAAAAATACAGTGTTTTTGAAATTTGAAATATTTAGGGGATAGAAAATACAGTTTGTATATTATAAAAACCATTTGGCCTATGGAGAGTCCCCGTAAACCACATATACAAGCATATGTGTGTGTTTGTGCGTGTGTGTGAGAGAGAGATTTCATATAAATCCTTTGTTGCGTTTTTTTTTACTGCTAATACAGAAACCCCTTATCTTACCAGTCCAATGCACTTTAGAATACAGTCTGCAACTCAGACAGAAAAGGGCAAATGAAAGATAAGGAGAGAGGTATCGGATGGATAGAATGTCACCTCCTGAATGTTAGAAGGCCAAAAAGCAGACATGGTATCCTTCAGTCTTTCTTTGCCCTCCTGGATAAAACACACCTGGGCAGAGAGAACGATGACATTCCGTGGACTTGTACAGAGGAGCAGATGCTAGAGTCTGACAGAGAGAGAAAGGCATCAGTATAGACTGAAAGATGTGGAAAAACAGAAAGAGTTTTACATTGATTTCTTCTGGTTTTTAAAGAACAATTACTACATTTGCCAGGTCTTTCTAATTCAGCTTGAGTTACTGAAAACATTTCTGAAAAATTCACAGGAGAGTAACAATTGTAATTGCATGGAAGAAACTCAGATAGGCCCATACTGGTAGGGGTAAAACAGGTGTTGTCTTACTGTGTGTGTGAGAGAGAGAGAGAGAGAGAGAGAGAGAGAGAGAGAGAGAAAAGAGAGGAAGAGAAAGAGAGAGCGTGCCATTGTTGCAGGGATGTTCATGATTATTCGAGAAGGATCAGCAGGAGGGGCAGGTACCGGCGGCATGAGCGCTTCACCGGAGAGAACAGCCAAACAGGTAGAGTCGTGCATGCATGTACTTCTATGTGCGTTTTATAGACATTTGTCTTTAAAATATTACGTTCTGAATATAATCTGCTTAAAAGGCAAAGTGAGTCATTTTTGTAATATTTTCCTTTATCCCATCTTAATATGCACAGACAACAATACCTAAACCATTGGTGGATTGATTTCCATGAAAAGTGTAAACTCTGACACGATCAGAGCATTGCCCTGTTTTGTTTGAGCACTCTGACGAGTCTGGCACAATCAATGACATAAATCTGGGGGTGGGGCCATCTGTTTGTCCAACCAATAGAAGACAAAGGAATTGTAAACCTTTTTGAAAGGCCTAAACCTTTTTTGAAAACAATCAGTATTTTTGCAGTTCTATTTAGTGCAGATTTAGACTGAAATTATACTTAACGGTTAAGATAAAAGTTTAATATGTAATTTTACTGGATTAGTAAAATTATGTGTTGTGAAGCATGCGTTACAGTACGAAACAATACAGTCAAATTTGATTGGCTGAAGGGCCGGTCACACTACACTTTTCATTCCATCGACTTCCATTCATACTCATGCAAATGTAGAAGAGAGAAAGCAAAAGCTCATGCGAATTTCGCTGCATTCTAAAGTTCACGTTTGATCACGCGAAAACGTGACCAATAGAAGATTGGTGTGGCCTCTTAGATGAATTAAAAGAATGCAAACTTTAATCCTGCAGGATTGGTGGGTTGCAGTAAAGTAAAGTAGATAACATATTTTTACATTTTGGATGCATTAGCCTATGTAGAATCCTGTTAAAAAAATAAATAAATAAAAGACACCAGAGAGCTTAATGTCATTATTAGGACCGTTGCAGTGTCCGTAGAAATTAGGCTCGTTTGAGATGAGCAAAATCTGCCCAGAACCGATCACCGGTGATCACCGCAAGATGCATGCCGGTTAGAAATGTGTCCGAGGGAAGTCTGCCTTGCTTTGATGTCACGCCGACAAAAATCTCTCGCGACAGCGAGTCTGCCGGGCAGTCGAGCGCAGTTGATCTCCCCCAGCAGCACTGATCAAAAGCCCGATGGGAAACGACTCGCTGTCGCAGACGACACAGATTAATGTTCACCGGTTCAAACAACCTTGATGTTGTGTTCTCCAATAAAATGTTTAATTTTTTTATCTGATATCATGTGATTATGTTTAAATTATGCATGAATATTCCCAAACACTATGACAGTGCGATCTCTGTGTGAGATATGTGATTGTTCTCATATTTCTAAAAAATTCTAAAATACATGTTTGTATTAAAGTAAAAATGGGTGATAAATATGTCTTTCGAATTGAATAAATAGCAAGTACTATGAGTGTCTTGTTCATCATATTTGTTTTCATATAAAAGCAACAAAACTGAAAATATATAATGTTCATTAGCAGCACAGCGCATGAGTGTGAATAACGTGATTTCCGCCTTGATCTCGTCACTCTAAAAAATGCTGGGTTAAATACAACCCAGTGCTGGGTAAAAAATGGACAAACCCAGCAATTGGGTTGTTTTGACCCAGCGGTTGGGTTACTACCCAGAAGGTTGGGTTAAACATTTAACCCAACCGCTGGGTCAAAACAACCCAATTGCTGGGTTTGTCAATTTTTTACCACTTTGAGAGGTCAGATCTGTCCGTCTTGACTGCGCTTATTTCACTCCTCCCCTCACCGCAGCCGCCTACTCTCGCCTAAATTTCAGGCGAGGCTAGCCGCATCTTAAATGAGCCTAGTGATTCTGTTTTTTTATTGTTTTTTTCTGACATGTTGGTGTTATATCTTTCATTCACTCCTCCCCTCACCGCAGCCGCCTACTCTCGCCTAAATTTCAGGCGAGGCTAGCCGCATCTCAAATGACTCTAATCAAACCTTATGTGTCCTTCACTCCCATTACGCAGATTATAATTGCAATTATGTTATAATTAGCTATGTAAATGTCCCCGGTTGCTGATTAATCATCAGCTTGGTTTAGGATGTCTGACCTCCTGTGTCTTCTGACAGGTCCAGGCCGCAATCAAGAAGAAGGTGGAGAAACAGAGGAAGCAAGTTGAAATGGGTGTGGTGGAGGTATTTAACAGTAATTCAAGACCTAAAATGGGACAGAGAAAGAATCAGCCCCTCCATCCACCCAGCAGAAGTGGAGATGGTGAGGAGGAAGATGAGGAGGAGCCTGTTGAGACTGGGGAACAGAAGGAGAAGGAGGAACTCGACCTCAGACCTATCGTGGATTCTGTTTTTGGCCAAGTAAGAGAACACAATTCATATCACAAACACATACTGCCATTTCATGCCCTTCTACCTATATAGCAGTGTAGCGAATCAGCTCATGGGGAAATATGAATAATTAATCATAACTAGTTATAATTATTTATACATATTTAGATCCGCTGTAGATATTTACTTGACCTCTCAGGGTCGATTTGTTAAATCAAATGAAAAATTGTGTTTCTGATTGGTCCAGACGCTACAGCAGTCTCACTGTGATCCAAAACTAACTTAGTTTTTCACATTCTTTGTTGTGTTATTACAACCAAAACTGCTTATAGCCTATTCGTAATAGAACTAGAGTGGCTATACATCAAATTACTGAAGGCCCTAGCAGGTCTATGCTGATGGGCATTCCTTGTCCCTGCTCTGTTAGGTAACATTGTTGGTACATGATACGGATGGTGCCTTGTTGAGCTCCGCCAACTCATTTCTTTTCTATTGTAAGTGACACTCACTGTGAGAGTAACTGTTACACTGTTACAGCTTGAAAACCTTGAAGCTCAGTGTCAGACCCTACATTTATTTTGATTCAATGGTAACATATCCGTCATGATATATGACTAGCTGTATATTTCACCTGTATGGTACCCTTGGATGAATCTAATTGGTAATGCAATGAAAATTTTTTTTCAAAAACATAGTATCATGTTGTGTAGTTTAACTCAAAATTTGAAGTCAATTTTAAGTCAAAATATTATTTAAAATAATTTCACTGGAGCAAAGTCAGGCTGATTAAGTCACCGTGTTATTTAGTGTTATTCATATATAATTATAGTCTTATTAATATTTTGAAGATTTTTTTTCTTCTTAGTTTTTATTTAATTTTACTTTCATTTTTAATAATTTTGTGATTTGGTTTAGTCAGTTTTATTAGTTTTTATCAAGCATTACTAATTCAGGTTTAGTTGTTTTAGTTTTTAGTTTAAAGTTAAACTTAGTTTTAGTTATACTTTCTTCAGTTAGTTACAGCATTTCTAACTTTTGTTTACATGTTTTGCTTATTAAATTTTATTTCATATTTTATTTTTAGTTTTAGATAATGATAATAACTATAATTCAGTTTACTATTCAGTCATATTTTTAATTGAACCCAGTTAATTTAGATGAAGTACATACCACATGAAGTACATTTTTTTGGTTGCCTCGAAAATTCTTCTTTTCGAATATATGACGTTAATATTCTGGGAAGGTACTTGTGTCCCAGAGCGACTTAACTTCATTAGCAGATAGGTGGTTAGGTGCAGTGGTGTAGTCCTAAAGAAAAAAGTGGTTTACTATTACCCAGCAATATTACCCCATTCTTGAACTGCACCTTCACTTCCATTTTCCGTTTCTTCATTTCCCCCAATATCTCTGTCCATCCCTTGTGTATATGTGTGTGTTTTTCTTGTACCTGTCACTTCTTCACCAGCAGGTCTACCGTTATGAACAGAACTGTGTCCATCTAGTTGCAAAACAACCACCTCATTTTAATTTGTTTGCACAGAATGTTATTTATCTTAAAATGACTTAAATACCCAAGATGTAACAAACCTATTTTTCATACAAATATATATATAAAAAAATTGTGTTTAAGTGCCTATTTATAAAAATTAGTGCAATACCTTAATTGAAAAATCCTAATAGCCTACTGAACACACTATTGAATTGACTCATATTTTTGTTTTGCTGTCTGCTCTCCCTCCTTACCTAAACTATAAATCCATGCGAATATCTGTCTGCTAAATGTATTAATGTAACTTTACAGTATGATGTCCTTTAGCATATAGTATTCTGACATGATAATAATGGGGTGCTCCTGATAGTCTAACAGTTGCTAGCAGTTTAATACTCAGCTAAGTTAGCAGACAACACTATAGTGACTAAGGGATTATATTTGGGGATCCGTGGCATTAATTGTTGGACAGCGTGTTCTCTCTCTAACACACAAAGACTTTATCAATAAAATAGTTGGGAAAGCCGGTCATATGCGAGTAATTCACATTCACGCGCTCTCTTCTGCTCTCTCTCTCCCTTCAGTAACTGCATACGGCTCATTCCTCTGTTAGATCTATATTTTATGTAACGGAGGCTCGGGTCGGGGTGTTAGTAAAAATATTCGAAAGTAATTGTTTCACGTCGTGGCCGCACTATCATATTGGGCTTCCTTTTTCGATAGGCTACTAACGAGAGAATGTCCACTCAAATCCGTGCACTCACTACCATATTTCCTTACGGCGTGTATCCACTGTTGCAGCATGAGAACTGCGCTCAGTGCTGCTCAAAACACCAAGCGCGAGCGACAATGAGCGGCGTTGAATGACAGAAGTGATATTGCACCAATTACAAAGAATCACGAATTTCACACAGCAGTATGGGACACCATTAAAGGGGAAGCTACATGACAGTAGATTACGGACTTGCGAAGCAACAAAACAAGTGGGTATACCGAGGGTATACGCGAATATTGATCCTTAGAAGTCGTAATACGCAAACATCCCGGGGAAAAAAAGTAAGCATACGGCGTATACTTGCGTAAGGCCCCGACTACACCACTGGTTAGGTGACTGTCAGGCATGAGATGACAGGTTAAGGAGCTGTCCTAACAAGCACATCTGTCCCCTTGTGGTTCACCCGCTCATGACCTGGTCTTAGCCTTGTGGTGTTGCATTCCCACACTAGGATAACCTTGCATCCAGTGCTAATCACTTGATATTGAGCTTGAATCACCAGCGGCTTGCATCCAGTGCTTATCACTTGATATTGAGCTTGATCACCAACAGTGAGCACACTAGAAACCCAATCTTGCCCACTTACCTTTCTGGAAGAGGGATCATTGCTTGTATTGTCATAATTATTTAATTGGCTTGGAGACATAGATAGCTACACACTAATTTAGGATAATGCATTCACTGAGTCATTGCATAAGCTGTGTATTAACAACTTTTCTTGCTTATACTCACATGAAGTTAAAAATACAAATAAAAATAATAAATTATTATAGGTTACATTTGTATTTATAATTTACATCTGCACAGTAATTATCTTTAGAGCATTCACTGAAACTCTATCCATTAGTTTATGTCCTTTGAGAATGAGTATTGTTAGATAAAAGAGTTAACACATAGTTTAGGTTGACTAGTCTGACATCTGATTATCTTTAAGTCAATAAATAAAAGTTACTCTCCACCTAAATGGGAGGGTAAGCAAAAGACAGTGTTTTATTTAAAAATCAATTTAATAATAAATTAAGTCCCCACTACACATATGGCAGTCTTCAAAAACAAGGCTCTCAAACTACGGAGAGGTTGATAGCTAGGTTTTATTTTCCATCTCTGGCCAGTTGATTTATGGCAACAAATTAAGGTGTTTTTTTATCACAATGAATTTTAATAGATTCTATATAGCTATTAACACAGCTTTAAAGATAGTAGTTTAGGAAAGGGACTTTAAAACGATTTGATGCCAAGGACCCCCAAATAAGATGATTGTGAGGCATCCACTTTCTAAAACATAAAGGCATATTTAGATTTTCATGTACATGTCAAGACCTATTTATGATGTGTGAGGAAAAAAACTTTATTGTTTGCAAAATTACATAAATATTTTAAATATTAAAAACATGTTTTAGTATTTTATATAATATAAATCAAATATTTTGCAGACTGGCAGGACCTCCTAGTGGCCACTACTTTAAGATCCTCATTCTAAAACAAACCAAACTGTCCTGATGTGTCTCTCTGTCACTACACACACAGAACGCTATATGATTGCTAGTGAACACTCCAGTCCCACAATGCTCTGCTGCTCATAGAGTGACCTCGTCTGACTTGATTCTAATCTGTTGGCCCAAAAATGCCGACTTAAACAGATTCCTCCTCATACAAACCCCACTTCCGTCATGATGGTTATTATTATACACTATATTATACAATAAAAAGTAGCATTCATCTATTTGCTGATCTTTTTTGAAAACAACAAACCATAATGTTGGCACAGAAAAACATTTTAATACTCGAACAAGTATGTGTGTGTGGATTAGAGTAGATTATAGTTCTGACAGGCTGGTAACACAGGGCAATGTCACTGGGTTTTACTAAAATATGAGTGCGGATTAAAGAGTGGTTCTCTGTTCATCTTCCCAAAGGTGTGTTCTGATTAGTCCGGGATTATCACACGCGCACACACACAACTTTAACCTCAGTGATGAAAAGACATAATCAGTTTCTTTTTTTTAACCTTCTGTATTCTTCATTTCTCTTTCTCTGTCATCTTCTTCATAGTAATGCTACAAGCTAAGAACTCTTTCTTAGTGGTCTACCTATAATGGTTGTAATATCTGAGAACACTAATAAAAATGCTGCAATTTTTATCGAAAATTATATTCAGAGCACAACAATTTGAGTAAATTGAGTAAACATGAATTTCAGAATGTCTTAGTGTTTGGTTTGTCTTTGTTTTGCTTTAATAATGGACTCCACAGGTTTGGCTAAAGCCTGATGATCATGTTCTCCAGCATGATTTTGAGATGATCATCTTGTGCTGCAACGTAAGAACACAAAGGGAGTCTGCATGAGCAGTCACAAATGTTATTTGATGAGTGACCTAGTAATAGTACACAATTGTTTACTTCAGTATTTTCACTACTATTTTTTCTTTATTTTGTATAATGTTTCTTTGTTTAAAAATGTTAAAAGTCTTGAAACTTTGTTTTTACTTTTTAAATAATTTATTCTTTTTTAAATCATTTTAATATTTGATTTGTTATTAAATTTTGAAAACCAGATTTAAAATGTGGTGTCACGTCAAATAATTTAATGATATTTTAATGTTGAGCAATACAGTGTGAATTAAATGCACACTTATTTCGCACAATATGTACTTCAAACTCTCTGAAAAATAAAAATATTAGTCATTGAAAAATATTAGCAAAATGGATAAATATCGCAGATTAATCGACCACTGCTCTTTCTTGCACTTATTATTTGCTTCTCCTCGAATCTCCTTGTTCTCTTTTTCTCCCTCTCTGTACATCATCCTATGGCTCTCCGACTTTAATCTGAAATAGAGGGGGGGGGGGTTAAAAAAGCTTCTAATTTTCTCATCTAATTCTCACCCTCCCTTACGTCCCCCTCCTACTCTGCATCCCTCTCTTTCAGCTTGCAAATTAAATCATTTGCATGGGACTGCCATCTGTGAGGAAAGTGAGTGGATAGGGAAGAGAGGGAGAGACGTGGAGCTTGATTAAGCGAGATATGAAGATGACAAGAATAGGTAAAAGTATGCTTGTTTTATGAAACATAATGTTATTTGTATTTTGCTTTTGCTTTGTCGGATAGTTATAAGAGAAGGGTCTGAGATGAGAAAGAATGCAAAGGTTTATAGTTACATTTGTTGGGTTGGTTTTCGAAACTAAACAATGTGGACTTTTAAGTAGCTTAATATGGAAGCAGGTGAGTGTTGTATTGTCAGTCCACTCGATAAATTAATTATATAAAAAGGGCAGAAGAGGAGAGGTGGGAATCTTCACTGAGGACTAAGGCATGGGAAACTGCACCAAACCATCCCTGAAAAACAAAATAAAAAAGGTAAGAGAAACATATTTAAAGGTCAGGGCCTATATACCGGGGGACTGTGTTTTTGTGTTAATTGTAATATTGAAATGAGTGGGAGAGGAATCATACTTTAAAACTTAATAACTCTTAGATATATTGTAAAGATAGTAATCAGTATTTCAGTAAAATTATAATACTTCAGTAGTTTAAGGACGTATCAAACAAATTGACTAAACTGTGCTTAATTAGATTATGTCTCAAGTAAAATATGGCCCCACCCTAGGGGTGTGGCTGAGGGTAAAGGGGCTGGGCCAGTGGTGCCAGGGCCCCGCCCACCCGGAGAAGCAGATGGAGAAAATGAAGTAACTTCTGAGTTTAAGGGGCCTCTGAATGCACTAGTCCAAAACTGCACCATGCTGCATAACATCGTTGGACCAGCATGCATCTTCCTAAGACAGGGCTTCGCAAAGTCACAGCTCGTATGTACAATGAAAAACTGAAAACACAGTGTTTCAGCATCTACATTCTCCCCTTGCATTCATCCAGAAGATCATCTGAGCTATTTCAGCAGTTATCTCATCATCGTTGTCAATCATCCACATTTCACTCCCTCCTCTAGTGTGATGTAAAAGATCATGCGGACAGTTGAAAGAAATGTAATTCTTTATGCAACCTTAAAGTGGTAAAAAAAAAAGCTGATTGTTTGATTTGTTTGGCCGCCATAAAAACTACGCTACCACTCAAACAGTACGTGGGAACAGTACGATTTTATCTCTTATACTCACCAAGGCCACAAATATTTGATCAAAAATACAGTAAACAGTTAAATTGTAATTTATTAGTTAAATGTGAAATTTTCAGCAGAAATTATTCCATTCTTCAGTGTCACATTATCTTTCTTAATATATACTTTTTTTTCAGGATTATATATATATATATATATATATATATATATACACACACACACACACACACACACACACATATACAAGTACGATTTTATCTCTTATACTCACCAAGGCCACAAATATTTGATCAAAAATACAGTAAACAGTTAAATTGTAATTTATTAGTTAAATGTGAAATTTTCAGCAGAAATTATTCCATTCTTCAGTGTCACATTATCTTTCTTAATATATACTTTTTTTTCAGGATTATATATATATATATATATATATATATACACACACACACACACACACACACACACACACACACACACACACACACACACACACACACACACACACACACACACACACACACACACACACACACACACACACACACACACACACACACACACACACACACACACACACACACACACACACACACACACACACACACACACACACACACACACACACACACATATACATACATAAATAAAATAGTTGCTTCTGGTCCTCAAATCTGAGTGGCTCCTTCATTTTTACGTAAACATATCTGTTATGCTGAATGAATGACAATGGAATATTATTTCACTCATATTTTGACATTTTATTCACACAAAAAAAATCTATCTATATGAATTAAAAATTAAGCAGCACAATTTTTTCAACACTGATATTCTATGTAATATGTATAAATAAATATATAATTTATCCATAAAAAACATCTCTTGTTGAGATGAATGACACATTTTAACAATGCTTTGTATTAAAAAGACATGTGAGGATACTTGGTTAACTAACGGATTTAGCACTGGATTTCTGGCATATGTAATGCACCGGTTTATACGAATGCGTGTGTGTGTACTATATGGTATTGGGTATTATACACAAAGCTGTAAATGGAAAAGAGAATCATGTGGGATTTTCTCATATGGCACTCCGTTTAACCTCATCCTCTCTCTGGACAATGTGTTGTGTCTTTCTCTGGGTCCTCCTCAAGTTAAACCCCCAAATCTACTTATCTTTTTGCTGCTGTCAGGCAACTTTCACTTATAATCTAGTGACTACCCATTTCACTACATTACCAGTCCTCAAACAACTTTCTCATTTCCACATCCCCACCCAAGTGTTTTGTTTGAGTCTATTTGATGATTCAGAGAGATAATGTCAAACAGAGACATGTCTTCAAATGCATCAGTGTTTAACATCTTTCTTATCCGTCTTAATTTAACAGGACAGGGAACTGCGGCCAGAAGAGATAGAAGGTATTCACAGAAACCACACATAAGAGTGAGAAAACATCCTGTTCATGCATTTCATCACCTCTATCCTTGTGTTCATGCAGAACTAAGAGAAGCCTTTAAAGAGTTTGATAGGAACAAAGGCTACATCAACTGCAGGGACCTGGGAGAATGCATGCGGACGATGGGATACATGCCAACAGAGATGGAACTCATTGAACTGAGTCAACAAATAGGTGAGTTAAATCATCCCTCAGAGAGCATTTATGATCTGTGTGCCTTCATGCAAACATTATCGTACTGTATTATAGTTTAAATGTCTGAGACCATGTTAAAAAATGGGATTTTTAACATTTTTAATTTTGAAAAAGAAAAAAAATATATATATAATAATAAATATTAAACATTTGTATTAAATTAAAGAAAAAAATATATATTTGAAGACATATATTCCTGTATTTTTTAGGTGGGGGTAAAATTGACTTTGAGGACTTTGTGGAGCTCATGGGCCCCAAAATGCTGGCAGAGACAGCAGACATGATTGGAGTCAAGGAGCTGAGAGATGCCTTTAAAGAGGTAAACACACTCACTTACACATGTACCACTGTGCTGACTGCAGCTGTCAGTGGCCTTAACGGCAATTTACTGCTGTGCAGTTTGACTCCAATGGAGATGGGCAAATCAGCATCACAGAACTGAGAGAAGCCATGAAGAAGCTAATGGGGGAGCAGCTGAATTCCGGGGATATTGACGATATAATTCGTGATGCTGACCTCAATGGGGACGGACTTGTTGATTTTGAAGGTAAAGGAATGATGGACAAATAATGACAACTAATACTTGCTTTTCTTAACATTTTTAGTTTACCTAACTGAATATTCTTTTCTGTTTTCTTTTTGTTTTGTTCTTCCTCACTCAATTTTCCAGAGTTTGTGAGGATGATGTCACGCTGATGGAAGCCACACAGAGAGACTTTATTTTCATCATGAGACTCTAAGAGGGACACATGGTGCAGCAATCTGAATTTTTCAACATGCCTCAAGAGATACAATTTGTAAAAATGATGTTTCATTTTATTTATTAAATAAGCATTATTATGCAAAAGAGCAATGTCTCAGTTCAATAGAGTAATGTTGTAAATGTACTGTTTAACTGGTAGGCCTATTTTCAAAGATGTATTTGTCTGATTACGAGTGTATTGAATTTGTAGTGTGCTTTTAAAAAATAAAATAAAATCATTTGATTACAGTGGTTTGTTAATTACCTGTTTATGCCTCTTCTTCTTAAAAATGGCAATTTATACCCATTAAATCAATTAATTTTTTTTTCTTTCGGTATGCAAAGTCTTTCAGAAATGGTAATGTGACAGTTTACGTCACTGGTATCGTCTGACTGAAGGGTTGTTGAGTTGTACTGACAAACTTCAGCTTTCTTTTGTTTGGGCACACTTACCGGCCCCTTGGACGTTTGACGGTCTGACTTGTAGAAACAAGTGGTAATGTGAGGCTTCCTGCTTGCGTTACTTGTATCATCTGACTGAACTCGGACAGAACGGTAGGCTAGATGACAGAAGTGCACTTCTTTTCAGTGCATTTAAAAGACATTTAATCAGACACGTCATTTTGTACGGTGACGCATTGCTGCCGCACACATATTTTTTCCCCACTCAGTTATGTAGTAATAACGACATATTTTCTCGTTAAAACGACATATTTTCTCGTAATAACGAGATGTTTTCTCGTTAAAACGACATCTTTTCTCGTAATAACGAGATGTTTTCTCGTTAAAACGACATCTTTTCTCGTAATAACGAGATGTTTTCTCGTTAAAACGACATCTTTTCTCGTAATAACGAGATGTTTTCTCGTTAAAACGACATTTTTTTATCATAATAACGACATGTCATAAAAACTATGTTTTCCCATTATAAATATATGGTAGGCCTACATTATGTGAGCGAGCTAAGCTACTGTCCGCGCTGCTGTCGCCACAGTCTGACATAAACGAGGATCTGCACGCTGCTGAAATTATTGAAATACACTGTTTTAAATGTATTTTAATGTAATGGGTTTAATTGTAGCGGCATGTTTATTAGGATTAATCTCCAATCTGTCTACAATATAGTGCTATCCAATAACTGCACTGACCCATGACTCGTTTAGGCTATGATCAGATCAAAACAGGGCTTAATATTTCTTTATTTGAATGACTTAAGTTTGATTTAACAACAAATCGAAATACGAAAAAAAAGAAATTAAGAGATTTTCTAATAGGCTAATAATAATAATAATAATAATAATTATTATTATTATTATTATTATTATTTCGTTCTGTTTGGCAAACGAAAATGAGATTTTTTTGTATTTTTTGTTCGTGGGTTAAAAAATGAGCTTGCTATTTGTGCGTGGGCGGCCCTAAAAACGCCACGTTTCTCTCAGCCTGTCTTTACTGCATATCCCATCACACAGAATAAGAGTTCATCTCATGTACCGCTCTGCAAATTAGTCACAATAACGTTTCTTCAAGCTGTCTGGCTGTTGTATAGCTATATTTCTTGCAAATATACATCTCATATGAAGCACAACACTGCTCTTCTCGGTTCGGCGGCGCCGGCGCGATCCCTTGGGCTACACGATAACAGAGGAAAGAAATGTCTGCTTTATTTTCTATACTTCCACAATAACAACAAAACGTTACAAATTGCTTTTGTAAAATAACAGGGAGCGCTTTCTGGCGCACCTTGTTATGTCTAAAGGTCTACTTAAATAAAACAATCGAAAACAAATTTGTGTTTATTTAATTCGTGTAGCCTAAATCCAACAAGAGGTTCTGTACAGTCTTTCCCGTCTGAGCTCATGTGTATTTTGTGCTCACACCCAGGCGCAGCGCTGCCTATTCCTTCAGTATAAAGCAAAGCCTGGGCTGCGTTTCTCGATAACGACTGATCTTAGCGCTTAAGAGCGTTTTCTACGAGTCATTTTACGATCGTTTGTTATTGTTTCACGTGCATTTCCCAAAAATGCACTTAACGCAATCGCACGTAGCCGTGCTTTAAGTGCTACTTAGGAGTCGCCTGGGCTGCGTTTCTCGATAACGACTGATCTTAGCGCTTAAGAGCGTTTTCTACGAGTCATTTTACGATCGTTCGTTATTGTTTCACGTGCATTTCCCAAAATATGCACTTAACGCAATCGCGCGTAGCCGTGCTTCAAGTGCTACTTATGAGTCGCTATCCGTTTGTCAAGTGCTGAAATATCACCTTATAGAATGGCTCGTAATTGTAGTACTCGCGCGTTTATTGAAATGTTAACCTAATCTACGTTCCAGACAACTCGGATATAATAACTATTATTATATTATATTATATTATATTATATTATATTATATTATATTATATTATATTATACTAATAAAGTGTATATTATACACTTTATATTATAATCACATTGCGCCTGAATAAAGTTAAAGGTGTAATCTGCCGATTGTCCTGCAGGTGACCGCATAAATCTGTCTTCTTACGATGCACTTAGGGCTTTACCATTACTCTAGAGCACCCGTAGATCTGGGCTGCGTTTCCCAAAAGCTTCGTAAGCTTGAAAAAACGATCGTACGACTTTACGATTACTCCAGAGCACTCGCAGATCTACGATGATTTTCACGTGCTACTTAAGTTGCGATGCTTTTGGGAAACAGACCGTAATATTAAGATCAGTCGTGCGATCGTTTTTACGAACTTCTTAGGTTTACGAAGCTTTTGGGAAACGCAGCCCAGACAGTTCGAAGAAACGTTATTGTGACTAATTTGCAGAGTGGTACATAAGATGAACTCTTATTCTGTATGATGGGATAGGCAGTAAAGACAGGCTGAGAGAAAAAGTGGCGTTTATAGGGCCACCCACGCACAAATAGGGCTATATTATTATTATTATTATTATGTTATTATTATTGTTGTTGTTATCATTATTATTATTATTATTAGCCTATTATAAAATCTCTTAATTTCTTTTTTTCGTATTTCGATTTGTTGTTAAATCAAACTTAAGTCATTCAAATAAAGAAATATTAAGCACTGTTTTGATCTGATCATAGCCTAAACGAGTCATGGGTCAGTGCAGTTATTGGATAGCACTGTATTGTAGACAGATTGGAGATTAATCCTAATAAACATGCCGCTACAATTAAACCCATTACATTAAAATACATTTAAAACAGTGTATTTCAATAATTTCAGCAGCGTGCAGATCCTCGTTTATGTCAGACTGTGGCGACAGCAGCGCGGACAGTCGCTATAATAACGGGAAAACGTCGTTATTACGAGAAAAGATGTCGTTTTAACAAACATCTCGTTATTACGAGAAAAGATGTCGTTTTAACGAGAAAAGATGTCGTTTTAACGAGAAAACATCTCGTTATTACGAGAAAAGATGTCGTTTTAACGAGAAAAGATGTCGTTATTACGACATAACTGAGTGGGGAAAAAAATATGTGTGCGGCAGCAATGCGTCACCGTAATTTTGCACCGTTTGGACCACCGCTTCAGTTTTTACCAGTGCACTTAACGCTATGGTGGAGGTGGGCTCATATATTTACGTAATACAAGAATGTATGACGTGTAGGGGATGTAGGCTAAGTACGTATACGGACGAATGTTTTTTTTTTTTTTTTTTTTTTACATCAAAAGTGTTACTGCTGTTTTATTCGCCTATATTTATGTAAACGAATGATCTAAAATAGATAACTTTTTATATATATATATATATATACAGTATATACATGGATCTTTTGAGATCTGGTACAAATTATGACATACAAAAACACATAGGCTCTAGGCTCATATGTATTAATCATTAAAAGATCGCGATCTCGAGTTATACACACGCAATCGTATTGCTATGACTTTGATTCCACTACATATATTAAACATTTGAAATAATAAACCTGCTTTCTACTGTTCCAGAGAGAGCAGCGCTCATCGTGTAAGCTTTGTGTTTGAAACAGCTTCACAAACAGTCTACACAGTAGGTTACATTTCTGTGTTGCAAACATTAAATACTAATAACGAAAGTATTGGGATAAAAGTTTATAGTCCGGATCTAGCTGATGTTGCGGCAGCCGCGTTCAAAATGAGAAACTGACCTTTGGAACTCATGTTACGCTTCAAATAAAGATTGTTGGCCTATATGTTACATTATGCCAGTAGGTAGCGACCAGTGACTGTTAAAATAGCTACATTTGATGTCTAATTCATTCAATCAAGAGATTCGTTCAAAAACGATCGAATCAAGTTCATTCATTTATTTCAAATATATATTTTTTTTTTTTTACATATTTTTATTTTTAATAGGCTCATTTATAACATTTTAGACTAATTTATAACATTAAATAAAACATTTTGTAAGAAACCTAAGTGAATTAGCCTATATATTATTTTGTTTTTGTCTAATGTTTTTGTTTTCAGAATCGTGGGAGAACCGTGATCTCTATTCTAAAAATAACTTATCCAGAGTCATACCTTAATAAATAATATCTGGCATCTAACTAATAGCCTACTATTACTGTTTCTAATAGCCTATTCAAATGTAGACTAATGTACAATCTTACAGACTTTGTGTAGTACAACAACTAGGATTTGGTACATTTATAATGCATTATAATGCCGTTTCTCATCCAGTGTGCAAAGTTCTGCAAAAAACCACCCCCACCACCCCGAGCCCCCCTTCTTTTGGTACGTTCCGCGATCCATGTGTATATATATATATTTGTTATATATAGGCCTAGATGAGTGACGTAAGCTCATCACGCGGGTTTCCAGTCAGTGCAAAAAGATTAATGCATGGAAATACCGCCATCTTCTGGCTGGGTCTTAAAAAAAAGAATGTTCAGCTCACATGTTGTTCATGAAAACAAAAATTTAAATGCTTTATTTTCCCTAAATCTAATTCAGTATATATATCAGTTAGATGCAGTGATGAACGGGGTCCACTAAACATCCAAAATGGCTGCTAGATGATGTAAACTTATTTCACGTGAGTTATATTAAAATAATGTTACTTAATTCAAATGCCAAAAATGAGGATGTAAGCCTACAACATGTAAACTGACATGTTTCACAAATGCACCTTTTCCCCCTTCCTATTACTGCAAGTTTCATCACAAGTCTCATGATTTTTATTGACAGCCAT